CCAGATTTCTTTTTGATCACAAATACAGGAGAATTCCAAGGACTGGTTGATTCCTTGATATGTCCAGCATTTAGCTGTTCCCGAACCAGGCTTTCTAAAGCTTCTAACTTCTCAGAGGTCATAGGCCATTGTCCTACCCAGACAGGTTCCTCTGTTAGCCATTTTAAAGGTAGGGCTTTTGGTTCCTCTGTTTGTTCAGCACTTGTATTCTGTTTTTGTACAGCCTGGATATTTGGTATCTGACTTGTATAGTACTTCATAATATTTTTTCCACAATCATGAGGTCGTTTATGGTTACTATGTAATACTGGAGGAATGTTAATCTTTGTATTCCATTGCTGTAATAGATCACGACCCCATAAATTTATCACTACATCAACCACATATGGTCTCAACCTTCCTCTCTGTCCTTCTGGTCCTATACATTCAATCCATCTCATGCTCTGTTTTACCTGAGACAGGGTTCCAATCCCTAAGAATTGAACATTTACCTTATGCAGGGGCCATCTTCGAGGCCAAGATTTATTATATATTATAGTTACGTCTGCCCCTGTGTCAAGTAACCTGTCAAACAGTCTATTATTCATCCTAACTATCAATTTAGGCCTTTGACTATTTATAGCAGTTTGCCAAAATATACGTTTTTTATTTCCTTCTGTCATGTTTGATTCAACTACCATCACTGTTTGTCATCCAGAGCGGTATGAGTTTTTATAATAGGCACAGAATTTTCTAATTGTCCTGTGGGAGATTGTCTTCCACTATGACTGGGAATGTTCGGACAACCTGTGACGTGGGGACCTTCGAGAGGCCCCCCCCAAGGAGTTTCCCGATGGTAAAGGGTTTCCTTGTTTGTCTCTGGTCGATCTACACTCATTTGTCCAGTGTCTGCCTTTGCCACACCTTTTATATAACCCAGGAGGCTGAGGCCTTCTGTTTGATTGATTCCTGGGAGTGTTATTTCTAGGGAAGCTTTGCCTACAATTTCTTTTTAGATGTCTTATCTTATCACAGCTATAACATCTGACATGTTGATATCTCGTCAAACCTTTGGAGATGGCTTCTCCTACCCAAGCTTCTAAGTCACCATAGTAAAGAACTCTGTTATCTTGATGTCTTCTCTGACCTTTAGATATGGCTTCTCCTACCCATGCTTCAGTCTTATTGTCATTATACTCAATGCTGCCTTTATATAGGACCCATTTATCCAAGGGTGCCGATCGCATTTTTAAAGGCCAAAGCACCTGTTTGCATTGAGGATTCACATTCTCATAAGCTAAAGATTCTATGAGTATTCACCTAGCATCTATGTCTGCTACCTCTAATTGTACTGCCCTAGGTAATCTTTCTAGAAAGACACTAGAGCGTTCTCTAGGTCCTTGCCTTATCTTGGTATAGGGTTCTATCCTCTCTCCTAATTCATGAACCTTATCCCAAGCATTCAAAGCTGCTGTACGGCATAGAGACAAGATATATTCATCATAGGCAGCTTGGGTTTCTGGGTCAGCATAGAGACCCTCACCAAGAATTTTATCCTGGGGAGCTTCATAACCTTTCTTTAAGCCCTGAAGTTCAAGAGCTTTTGCTTTCTCTCTCCATAAAGCCCTCCATTCTAATTGAGAGTTTTCAAGGACAGCTGATATTAATTGATCCCAATCCTTAGGGGTTACCTTGTTATTCCTTGCCCATGATTCTACTAATTGCTTCGCATATGGTGAGTGCCTGCCATAAGAGACTACTGCTTCCTTTATACCTTTTAAATCTTTCATACGTATTGGTTCCCACTGATATACAATGACACCTTTTGGGTGTTTTTTCGTTGCTGGTTTTTCATTAATAGATACAGGGAAAGCTCCCCTGACCCAAAATGGTGTGGAAAATTTTAAGTCTTTTTCATGCCCTGTTAACCTGTAGTTCTTCTTCTGATGTATCAGACTGAAGGTCTTCTAAAGCCTGAAGTCTATTCACCATTGTTTCTTTGAGTGTCTGAACTTCTTGAATCAAATAACTTTCTAGAGACTTCATTGCATCAGTCAGTTTCTTACTTTCTCCAACTACAAATGAGTCCATGTTTTTAATCTTCTCATCCTTAGATATGATCTGAATGGCATGTAAATTGCCTTCCAGAAACAATGTTCTATCTGCTAGCTTGCCATTATCCTCAGACATGGAAGAGATTCTATCATCTAGTCTTTCTATCTGATGTTCCAGTTTTTTAAACTTATTAGTAGCTTCCTCTGACCAGGAACAAGCTGTTTCTGCTAGGGTGTTAATGCATTGCATTGTTTCTGTCCTGGTTATTGAGGTATCAGACATGAAACAAATCCTGTTTTCAATATTCTGAACCTTTCTTTCTATGCTTTCTATGCTTTGAATTCTATCATTTTCAATGTTTCGAATCCTCGTTACTAAATCTTCTATGGTTTGTACAAGTTCCTTATTGTTTGCTGTAATCTCAAACCATTTCCTTAAGAATGTCATGTTAATGATGAAACCCATTGCTATTACAAAATAAAAGTACATATTGGTCCAGTCATAATTTTCTTCTGCTAAAATTCCTTCTATATATGAAGTAAAATAATTCCTAAAGTCCTGCATTGTAAAATTATCTGCCATAGTTATGGAACAATTGATCTCAGATATTATATCAGGTTAAATTGCAAAGGGTGTTACAATTACCTTAGGAGTAATTCTGTTGTCCTGGAACTTTGATGCTTTTAGTTGTAGATCTCAGCTTGTGGTAGTTACGCCTGGAGGTGTACCACCAAATAGCATCCAGCCACAGAGGACCCCTCTGATCCCGGTTCTGCCCGGAAGTGTACCGCCAAATATTGTCCGGCAGCAGACGATCCTTCTGATCCTGGTCCCTGTAGAATAGCTCTTAACAAACTATGGCAAGTGAAATTTTGTTAGACAAATGAGTAAAAGGAGTCTTGTGGAATTGCTGGGACTGCAGGGCTAACCATGGGAAAAGCACAAGCAGGGCGGGCTCAAGTGGCTCAAGTGGCTCTGTGCGATTGCAAAGTGCAGTGCGGAAATGGACAAAAAATAAGAAGCAGTGAGTGCCTTCTTAGGCCCGCTGTGGCAGCAAAGGAGATGTAAGGAAGAGGCAAATGTCCCAAAGCTGTGGTGAGTCCACCTGGTTAGGCAAGGGACCCTGCCCGTTGGGGATGGTGGGGGAGGGGAGTGGCGTCTGCCACCTGGGTGAAACCCAGGTCCCGTGAAAATCCTAATCCCGCTTCTGACACCAGATATTGTGGTTAAATAAGGATCAGGATAAACAAATAGGTCGAATAGATGTTTATTCAGGGAGTAATAACTTACAACCTAGACAGATGAACACCGGCAAGTTCCACCGGATTTTCTCCTGTCCAAGTCCCACCAGCAAGAGAGCATTCCCAGGTTCTTCCTCAGACCTCCTTCCACAGGTCACTTCCGCCCATGGCTCCACCCCCAATGGGCGTGGTCAGTGCCACAGAAGGAGACAATGTAACTATCTCACTACAAGGTTTTCCTAGGCAAATAGGAGGCCAATTGTTTGTGCCTGTTACATGGCTAGACATTCCATTAGCTAGAGTTAAAAGATTTTAAAACTAATCTGTTACTTTCACTTTATTTTTGCCCTTCTTCAAGAAGTTGCCATATATCACTGTATTATACTTTACTTAATCAGTAAATTTAATTAATTGAGCATGAGGGCTCATACTCTATCATCCTAGTGTTTTGAATTAGATATAGGAAGTTCAAGAGTAACCTGGTCCAAATAGTGAGTTTTAGGCCAGCCAGAGATACAAAGAGATCCTGTGTCAAAAAGTCCACAAAAATTAGAAGTACGTTTAAGTATAGGAGTGAGACTATCTGTGAGTTAGAATTCAACCAAATGTTGTTGGTGACTTGTCTATGAATGGAATCAATACTTATTTCAGACTTGTGACCTCTTATAATTCTTCTGTAATATGTATCCCAACCCTTTGCTCTTCTTTCCCCTGGAGTATTCTTATGTGATTCTTGTTGTGTTCTTGTTTCTTGAGGTGTTAGAGTCTTATACACCCCAGGCTGGCCACATATTCTGTATGTCCCCAAGAATGACCTTGGACTTCTGATTCTTCTCCATTCTCCTTTCAGGTATCCTGATCCTTGTCACATTTAAGGAATAGGAATTGAATTGAGGGCTTCGTGCATGTTTAGCAAATATGCTACCAACTGAGCCACATCTTTAGGCCCTAATTTATTCTTTTTCTTCTTAATAGGATCTAATTATAATTTTTCTATGTATGAATGTCTTGCCTGCGTACAGTGTGTGTGCCTGGTGCCCAGAGAGACCAGAAAAGAGTCAGATCTCCTACAACTGGAGTAGTTGTCAGCCACCATGTGGGTGTTGGGAACCAAACCCAGATCAAGTGCTGGTAATCACTGAGCCATCCCTTTACCCAAAATGTTCTGAATCTGATCACCCCCATGGCATTCAAGGTCACCTGGGGCTGCAGGACACCTGTCTGAATAGAATAAAAATTTTCAGCCTTTGTGTTGGGTCTAGAACTCCTGGGTCCCGGTGAAGAGACTATGGGACTTCCTTTCATAAAGGATAAAAGAGATAAAGCCCTAGTTCTATTTTCATGGAACAGTATGTTGAAATAGCCAGATTTTAAGAGTCCTGCCATGAAAAGCTGCCTGCAGGGAGTGAAAGTGACCAAGGAGAGAGATATATGAGAAGTTGCAGTGAGAAAGAGCCATGTAAGACCTTTGAAAATGAAACCACAGGTTTCTGACACAGAGCTACTGGACTTAGAATTGCCCTGCAAGACTCCCAATCTCTTCTTAATACTTTGGAAGGGAAATGTATATTCTGTGCCGTTGTGTTTTAGATATAGTTTGTGTTTTGATATTACAGGATGTCACAGTTAAGCGATTGCCTTGAGTGTCAGAAGAAACATTGGCTATTTGAACAGTGTTGAGACTGTTATATAATATAGGGATCTTTGAAATTTGACTAAATTTAGCAACATGTTTTGGCTGTGAACCTATCATGACTTGTGCCAAAATGTGGAGAGTTGGGAATGAAAACTCTTCCAGATAGTGTGTTGTATTTGTGCATTTTTCTTTGGTGTTTGCCTTCATTGGTGACTTATGTAACCCTTAGGAGGAGACTTTCTGGAGAATGTAGTCTCTGGGGAAGGGCTTTGCGTGTTTATACCCTCGTCACACTTCTTTGTGTGCTTGGAACTGTGCAGCCCTCTTCCTTTCCATGTTGCTATTCCATCACCATCATTAAAGACTCCATTCCTAAATAATGTAAGTTAAAGTAGAAGCAATTGTTTTTCTTGCTAGTCCATTTTTCTTGTCTTACATTTTTATGTTTATATTTTTGCCTGATAAAATTAGGTTTTGTACATGCCAAGCATTTGCCTTTGTGCTGAACTTTGCACACATCATGCCTTTTGAATCTTGGAAGAGGGTGTCATTTTTCAGACTAAGAATGCATGCAGTCATGAAACTGATAGTGATCTCCTGAATCACTGAATTGCAGGTGTGTAAACTTTTCTTTGTGTATGGTTTTACATTTAAAACTTTTTAAATATGTGACTTTTTTGCCTATGTATATGGCTGTGTACCATTTGTCTACCTGGTATTTAGTGAAGTCAGGAGAGAGCATTGGGTTCTCTTGACCTGGAGTTGGGAATGGTTGGGAGCCTCTAAGTGAGTGTTGGGGATTAATGCTGGTCCTCTTCAATTGCAACAGGTAATCTTATTTGTTGACTCATTTTTATATACTCCATCCCTTTAGGTTTTTTTTTTTTTTAATTGTTTTAGGATCAGCATTTACTTTATTAATGTTTTTGGTTACTCTGACTTGTCAGTCAGGAACTTCTTAAAAATGTCTTCCTTCCTAGGAATAATTAACCTTACAGTTTAAAAGTGATTACTCTAGCTTATGATGAACAGGTACAGAATTGGAAAGAATGTTCTAATTCTGTGGAGGAATTTCGAGTGAACCCCTGAATGCTTTCTATATTTTGTTTGTTTGAAATAGGGTCTTACTATGTACCTTTGGCTGTCTTGGCAGTCTCTACATAAATAGACCAGTGTGGCTTGGAAATCACAGAATTCTATAGGTCTTTGCCTTCTGAGGTTTTAGATTATGTAGCATGCATTCTAATTGGTCTTAATAATAAAAAAACCCAGTGTCAGATATTAGAGGGTGAAAACTGAAAGATCAGAGAAGCAGAGCAGCCAGCCACTAGAGTTCTTACTCTATGAAATCCTTGGACTGAAAAGAGTTCATGCTACTATCTCCTCTCACTTTATAGTGATGGGAGATGTCATTCTGTATATGTTTCTCATACTGGTTAATGAATAAAGCACTGTTGGCCAATAGGAAAGGAAGATAGGAGGGACTAGGAGACAAGGAGGAAATAGGAAGTAGTAAGGAGAGTCAGGATGGAGAGCCTGGAGAGAACAGAACCGCCATTCCTCCGCTCTCAGTAAGACCACGTGGAAATACATAGAAATGGGTTAATAATTAAGACAGAGCTAGCCGATAAGAAACTAGCACCTGGCCAACAGCATAATATCAAATACAGAGTCTCTGTGCGTTATTTGGGGCTGGCGCGGCGGCGGGACAAGAGCAGCAGCGGGAGGAAAAATCGTACTTCTTACATTATAGTCTTCTCTTCACCTAGCCATATCACTTCCTGTCTGTACAGACCTCTAGACCTCTAAGTAGTGGTTAAGTTAGTGGCTAGCTCTGCCCTCTGATTTTTAGGCAAGCTTTATTTGTTAGAGTACAAACAAGATAGTACCCAGGATTATATGTGTGCGCTACTACACCCATATTATCTACTTTTTTGAAGTGCATAATTTTGACGAATAATTTTGCTTGTGTGTGTGTGTGTGTGTGTGTGTGTGTGTGTGTGTATGTTACTCTGTTTGCAAGTCACTTTGTTTATATTACTAGGCGTTTCCCCTTCAATGCCATATTCTATTCGGTGGTCACAGAAATAGAAGGCATCCTCCTCCTTTTCTGTTTCCTTCTATAATGACTTCATGACTGCATTTGAAATTCTATGACCCATGTCATAGATTACATTGATTACACAGAATTATGTAAATATATTCCCAATGAAGTGTATACATTTACAATGCAGTCATTTCTATTACATACTTATATGGGATACTTTAGGATGTAGTGACCTATGAGGATGTGCATGTGAACTTCACTCATAAAGAGTGGACTTTGCTGGATCCTTCCCAGAAGAGTCTCTACAAAGATGTGATGCTGGAAACCTACTGGAACCTCACATCTATAGGTAAGAATTTGAGCTTTCTGTCACTTTTGAACTTAAGGGGACAAGCCTTTTTTAGAGGTTGGTGCACTTCTGTGATTTCAGCTGTGGAAGAGGAAGAATCCAGTGAATAAATTAGGCATTGTTTTAAAGTTAACTTTAATTTAATTTAATTTAGTATTAATTTAAATTGTGCCTAATTTTCCATAATATATATTTTCTGGTACTGTATTTTAGGCTACAAATGGCAAGACTACAATATTGGAGAACATTGTCCAAGTTCTAGAAGACATGGAAGGTAATTTTCATGTGCAAAGTGAAACATATGTACCTCTGAAAAATGTTTATGTACCCTCAACTTTTAATGAAAACAACTGATGGTGTGGGAATTAATGATTCACCAGACCAGTATGAATGATTAGTGGAGTTTTCTTGGTAGAAGAACTTACATAGAAAATGGCAAGTGACTGTCTCGGTGTTCTTGCTCCAAGGTCGCAGCCCTGCCTCCTCAATGCTCTCCACTACCTCATAGGCCTCCTGCACCCTAATCCATTCCCTTTAACTGGTCATGTCTGTACCTGTAACCATGCCCAAAAGGCGTGGTCACTGTTACAGGTGCAGAGGTGAATATATTGCTACAAATAACAATGTAAATAAGCCCAGCTCTGTGATGATTATTAAATTCCCACAATACCATGTACTGCAATGTCTATTGATGCTTTCCACACAAAAAGATGGGTGGAGAGATGGCTCAGAGGTTAAGAGCACTGGCTGCTCTTCCAGAAGTCCTGAGTTTAATTTTCAGAAACAACATTGTGGCTTACAACCATCTATAATGAGATCTGGTGCCCTTTTCTGGCATTCAGGCATACATTCAGACATAATACTTATAGACAAAATAAGTAATAGACCTTTAATGTAAAAAAAAAAAAAAAGGCAAGGGAACAATGCCATAAAAGATGTCACAATTTTAATCATAGCCTTGTACAACTGTCCATCCTCTTAGTTTCATACCAATCAAGTATCTTAAAAGGTATACATATGGATAGGGGGTTTAGTTTATGACCAAGACCTGTTATAAGCAAACCTTCCCTACTAATACTAGTATTCCTCAAATCCTTGTATTGAGGGACTTACCATAGTTTAGTGAAAGAAGCAGTTTATGAGAGTCAAGGACCTTGTTATCATGGAGAAACACATATGTATGAAGTATAAAATGTTAGACTATGTGAATGCAATGTGAAAACATGTTATTTGTTATTCTTTGTTTAATAGATATATCGTCTTCAAAGATACAAAAATAGTCAGTACTCAAGAGGACCTTTATGAATGTGAGCAATATGATAAAACATTTGGATCTGCTTCCTCTTTAAAAGTACAACAAAGAATTCATCTGGAAGTTAAAAACTATGAGTATAATCAAAGTATTAAAGCCTTTGCATGTCATAGTCACAATCAAGTACATATAACTCATTCTAGAGAGAAAACACATGTATATCATCAATGTGATACAGCCATTGCACATACTAGTTATCTTCTAATACATGAAAGAACTCATACTGGAGAGATATCTCATAAATGTAATCAATGTGGTAAAGCCTTTGCACTGAAGAAGAATCTTCTCAGACATGTAAGAATTCATACTGGAGAGAAACCCTATGAATGTAATCAATGTGGTAAAGCCTTTGCATATAAATGTGATCTTCACATACATGAAAGAAGTCATACTGGAGAGAAACCTTATGCATGTAATCAGTGTGGTAAAGCTTTTGCACAGAAGAGTAATCTTCTCACTCATGAAAGAAGTCACAGTGGAGAGAAACCCTATGAATGTAATCAATGTGGTAAAGCTTTTGGACGTAAATGTGATCTTCAAGTCCATGAAAGAAGTCATACTGGAGAGAAACCTTATGGATGCAAGCACTGTGATAAAGCCTTTGTACGTAAACTTGAGCTTCAAATACATGAACGAAGTCATACTGGAGAGAGACCCTATGGATGTAATCACTGTGGCAAAGCCTTTGCATGTAAAAGTATTCTTCACAGGCATGAAAGAAGACATACTGGAGAGAAACCCTATGGATGTAATGACTGTGGTAAAACCTTTGCCTATAAAAATCATCTTCAACTACATGAAAGAAGTCATACTGGAGAGAAACCCTATGGATGTAATCACTGTGGTAAAACATTTGCATGTAAAAGTAATCTTCAAATACATGAAAGAAGACATACTGGAGAGAAACACTATGAATGTAATCAGTGTGGTAAAGCCTTTGCTTATAAAAGTAATCTTCAAACACATGAGAGAAATCATACTGGAGAGAGACCATATGAATGTAGTGACTGTGGTAAAACCTTTGCATGTAAAAGTAATCTTAAAATACATGAAAGAAGTCATACTGGAGAAAAACCCTATGAGTGCAGTCAGTGTGGTAAAGTCTTTGCATATAACAGTCAACTTCACAGGCATGAAAAAAGTCATACTGGGTAGAGACTCTATGGATGGATGTAATCACTGTGGTAAAACCTTTGCCTGTAAAAGTAATCTTCAAATACATGAAAAATCCTATTAATGTAGTCAATGTGATAAGCTGTTGTAATAAATACTATATTCCAAGAATATGGGAATAATGGATAATTTGAATAAAAACCTATTTGCAAATAAAAATGATATTTATGCTGTCATCCATTATGTTTGGATTATGTTACTTTATTTTAGGGACTAAACTTGTTTTTTTATATTTTCTCAGATACACAAATGAACAGCAGAGAATTTTTTTAGTGGGTAAATGTGGTCACTACTAAGCCTGATGACCAGAATTCATTCTCTGGGGGACCCACATTTCTCATACAAGTTTCTTTTCTGATTACTACTCTTGATTTGTTTGTACACCCACACACCAACACACACATAAATATTTTTGAAACTGAAATCAGGGCCAATGAGTTCACTCACCAGTTTAGGGTACTTGTTGCCAAACTTGACTGCCTTGGTTTCATCTTTAGTACTCACATAGAGGAGGAACTAGAGTAATAGTATAAAGCACATGGGGAACCTTGGTGGATTCCAAGATGGGTAAATGTGACCTAGGTGGGGGACAAACATGCTGGGCAGACAGAGATAAATGAGAAGTTTTCTTAGAAAGGGGAAGGAAGGGGCAAGGAAAGAGAAAAGAGGTAAAGAGAAACAGAGAGGACAGAAGAGGAGAGGGAGACAGGAAAAGTCCTGCCTGCCTCAGGGGAACAGGCAGAAAGAGTGGGAAAAAAAGAATGGAAGTGGGTGGATGTAAGGAGTATGGTTTTTCCTCCCGCTGCCAGTCTGGTCCCACTGCCGCGCCAGCCCCAATTAACACACTGAGACTCTGTATTAGATATAATTCTGTTGGGCTGGTACTAGTTTCTTATCGGCTAGCTCTGTCTTAAGTATTAACCCATTTCTGCTGATCTGTGTATTTCTCTTACCGGGGAGCCGGCCGACATACTGCTTTCTTCAGACTCTCCATCTTGACCCCTCCTTTCTCCTTCCTACTTCCTCCTTGTCTCCTAGTCCCTCCTATCTTCCTTTCCTATTGGCCAACAGTGCTTTATTCATTAACCAGTATGAGAAACATATACAGAATGACATCTCCCATCATCTCTTTTCTGTCTAAATAAAAAGAAGGGTTTTAACTTTAACAAAGCAAAATATATAACACAACAGTTATCAACTAAGAATCACAGTTAACAATATTTAGTCCATTAACATTTAGCAAGATTAAAAGAAACTATTCTATTATCTATCTTATATTTGTGAGTCTAAAGTCCTATATGTAACTTATCTTTAAGCTTAACTAAGGAAAAATATAACCATAACTATCTGTCTTCAACTCCTTCAAAGACCACAGAAGGATAAAATATAAACTCTAGAAATGACAGAGATATCTTGCCTGGTCAGTCACCAGAAGTTCTTCTGTAATCTTCCATCTTCAGCCCATAGGCCATAGTGTGTCTGGCAGACTCTTCAGCAAAGCAGGAAACTTTAAACTGTCTTCTTGTATTGGCAGTTTGTCAGTCACCTTTCTCTGTGTCCTGTCTGGCAGACTCTTTCATGAAGCAGGAACTCTGTAGCAATGTCCATCTTGAATCAGCAGTCACTTTTCTGTGGGTCCTGCATGTCTAGTTTATACAGCATAAAGTCAAACAGTCCAGACAAGAGCAGTATCTTGTCCAAATGGCTAGTCTTTCTATATTGAAAGCAAACTTCATAACACATTTCTTCGATGTCCATCTTCATCTTCCTTTCTTACTCAGGTTGTGTTGCCAGGAGCATTTATGTCTCACTGTCACGGAAACCCTAAACCATTTTAAATGCCATATTCTGTAGGTCTTTGAAAGGTTTGAAGAATTCCTATCCATCTCAAATACATCTCTATATATCTAGAAAACCTAACTAACACTATAAATTTTTACTATTATAGGTAACTATCTGTAATCTGTACTAAATTATATTACATTTCTAAATGAGCTATATAAACACAATACCTAAACAAAAGGAGAAATATACATATCATAAAATTGACCTTAAATTGTATCAATAAATGAAAATCCATTCGAAAACAAAGAATTCATATCTATACCATAATCCCCTTTTTACCTTTAAAAAGAATATTGGTTGTGATCATTAACCATTTATAACTAAACCCATTTAAATGAAAACAAACATTTATAAACAATATTTGGGAATTGGGGCGTTGTTCTTTCCAAATTACTTCCTGCTGACAGGGGACGCTGTCATGGGGGATCCTAAGAAGATGCAGAAATCTTGGCTGTAGTCTGCAAGGCTGCTTTGCTCAAGCTGTTTTGAATGTTGGATTACCAGGAACGCTGTTTCAGGGGGTCTGGCTTGCTCAAACCACATTAGTCTGAAAGGAATCCACAGCTTTTCATTTTCTGTGGAAACAAAAATATAAATCTTTTCCCCCAGTAACTTGTCCTTGAACTTAAATTTTTGAGTCAAAGCATTTTAAAAATATATAAATTGAATTAATTCAGCAGCATTTCCTTTAACAGTTATTGTTTCCTCAGCAGTCAAACAATACAAAGACAATATAATACCATACAGTGTCCAGATTTTTTCCATTTGTGGATTTTTTTATTATTCTGTTTCTTTTCTATTTTTTTGAGACAGGCTTTGTCTGTGTAACTCCTATCTGTCCTGGAATTTACTCTGCATACCAGGTTAACTTTGAAATCACAAGAGATCTGTTTGCCTCTGCCTCCCAAGTGCTGGAATTAAAGGCGTGGGCAGCCACACCCACCTGTTCTCTGCCTTTTAATAACCATTTTGTTTTTTTCTCTCCCAAGCCTACGTATTTTTTTAAAACACACTGTAAACCTTTAGAGGTTTTTCGTAATATGAATCTGTCTTTACTGTAAATCATCTTTTTCTAGCCACAAGTCTTTTATCAGGTAAACAACAACATTGCTAAAATGAAAGTCTTTGTTGTTTCTGCCACGGTTTATCAAAGATGGTGGCGGCTATTTTACCGCCAGCAATGAGAGCTGTGGTTACTGCCTTAGTCTACAGGCAGCAAGCAGCAGGTTGCCGGCTTGGAGATGTAGTCACTGCCATTGCCAGCTGATACACATCTGCTAACATAAATTGTTAGCAGTGCTTTTTTAAAGCCATGCGGTTTTTTGCTGCTTATGCTGAGTCAGGAATCCCTTAAAGGAGCCGTGCTTGTCTCTCGAAAAGCAGAGTTCAACCAAGAAAAATGCTGCTACCAAGAAACCTTGCTTGTCTCTGTTCTTTTGTTTCTAAAACCCTTTTTTAAGCTTTTGTTAAATTTTAAATGGAAGTTCTTATTAGCCACGTGGGCGCCATTTGTAAAGAGTAAGGTTTTTCCTCCCGCTGCCAGTTTGGTCCCGCTGCCGCGCCAGCCCCAATTAACACACTGAGACTCTGTATTAGATATAATTCTGTTGGCCTGGTACTAGTTTCTTATCGGCTAGCTCTGTCTAAAGTATTAACCCATTTCTGCTGATCTATGTATTTCTCTTACCGGGGAGCCGGCGGCATACTGCTTTCTCCAGACTCTCCATCTTGACCCCTCCTTTCTCCTTCCTATTTCCTCCTTGTCTCCTAGTCCCTCCTATCTTCCTTTCCTATTGGCCAACAGTGCTTTATTCATTAACTAGTATGAGAAACATATACAGAATGACATCTCTCATCAGGTGGAGTCTTTCTTTTTTAAAGAGCCAGGCTACATACACCTGCCATGTGCAGTTGGGTGAGAGGCGGGGTCAGGTCTACCTGGATTACAACATAGAGACACCTGCAAGTTGTCCTCTGACTGGCACATAGACACCATGGTACTGCTGTTTACACATAGTAATTTTTCCCCCATTTTTGGAGACAGAGTTTGTTTTTGTAGCCCTAGTAGTCTTGAAACTTATTCTGTAGACTAGGCTGACCTCAATCTCAGAGATAACTACCCGCCTCTGCTTCCCATGTGCAGGGGTTAAAGGTATATGCTACCACCATCTGCCACATTTAATTTTTTTAAAGCATGAATAAAAAATGTCTCACCTGGGTGTAGTCTTATAATATCAGCACTTGAAAGAGAAAGATAAGTGGATCTCTCTGAAATTGAGGCCAGTCTGGCTCAGGTATTAAGTTACAGGATGGCCATAAATATAAAGACAGATCCTGTCTTAAGAATGTCCAAAAAAGGAATATGGAAAAATGTCTGCTTTTCCAGAGGACCCGGGTTCAATTCCAGCACCCACTCCTTTGATGAGGACTTTGGACAGATAGGTGGAGTGGGTTTGATAAGTTTGGCAAAATCTGTTAGTGACAGGCCAATCCTGACATGCCAGAGCTTTACACAGGCAATTGCATTTATAACACCTCTTTCACACAGGACTCCCTCAAACCCAAACACTGACGAACTTCTCCAAACACACATGCAGAGATGACAGACATGAGCTGATACATGCCCTGCACATTAAATATACCACTCTCAGATATATACCACAAACATATACTCTCATATTCCACAAAGTGTATAGTTAGAGTCAGCAAGATGGAGTAGACAATAATGTGGCCTGATGCTGAAGGTGAGGGTGTAATGATTTCACTAGATCCAAGATAACTGATAGTGGGTGTTTATTGGGGAAAACTTACACAGGTAACCACGGGAGCACTTCTCTGCCCTTCCTATCGGATCCCCTGACCCAAGAGAAAGAGCATGTGAGAGAAAGACCATGCTTCATGCGTCTCTCTTTCCACTTCTGTCTGCCTGAAGCCATGCCCAAAGGGATGTACTCACTGTTACAGGTTCATAGGCAAGACACTACATGATGCCAACACTAGTGACCTAAGTTTGATTCCCACATGATGGAAGGAGAGAACCAATTCTCAAGTTCTTATCTGAAGCTCTGGCCATGGTGTAATAAGATGGTGGACCATTTCAGCTAGCTAGTCTGGAGATGTCTCGAGCATTATCGTCCCAAATATCACCACTTTTAGGGTGATGTTTGTTAGTTCAGAGGCATTAAGTTGAATCAAGTGGAATTGATGAAGTGGGGCTTCATCTTCTTTTTGGAGAGTTCAAAGACTGCTGTTGGGAAACTTTTGTTCACTGTGGAGGACTTAAACATTAATATCAGCACTGAAAGTTTAATTTCCATAGGTGAACATACAG